CCAAATAAAAATTTTGGTTGAAAATATTTGACAATTATCCAATGATGAGAATATTAGGAATTTCAAATGGTAAATTCCTAATAAATCTCTAGGTGAGAAAATTTTTTAAATTTGTCCCAAATAGTGGAAGAATTTAAATGAAATTTCAATAAAAATAATTGTCATATTATTTTCTTTCTAAAAAAATAAAAAAAATTCTAAATAGGCTTAAATGGTAGAGAATTTAGAAATTCAAAAGAAAAGATATTTCTAATTTGATCGAAATGATAGAATAATTAGATATATTTTCAACAAAAACTAAAAAATAAAATAAAAATAATTAAACTTTTTTTTACGAAGGAACCTCTTCAAGAAAATAAATGGATTCTTGAATACTCTTGAGGTGAGAAAATATTTTTTAGAGTTCTATCAAATCAATGGAAAGTCTTAAGAATTATTTTCAATATTTGAACCTTAAATTTTAAAATCATTAGAATTAAGACTTTAGGATAAATTTAAAATTAAATGGTACCATCATTTAGATGGACATGTGAGGGTGCTATAACCTTCCCTATATATAACCGAACTCCCATACATTTATTTTGGTTTGTAGACCCGAACTTATTTTTTTAAGGACCCTTAGTCAAGATTAGGAACTCCTTAAAACGATAGATTCTTTAGATGACCAATCACTCATAGTAAAAAAGATTGATGACGACTCCATTTGTTAAGTATAACTATAGATTTACGGATCTATATGTTATGATAATGTTCTTATATCATATTACAAAAATACATTTTCTTTTAAATAAATTATTATGCTCTTACATCATAATTATAAAAGTATCCATTCTCTTATAATTATTTACTATAATATCCTCATATCATAATTAAAAAAATACATTTTTTTATTAGATTACAAAAATATGCGTTTTCTTATTATTGATTGAAATAATTATAATACTCTCCTACTATAATTATAAAAATATTTTTTCTCATAATTAATAAAAATTACTATAATACTCTTATTAAACCATAATTACGACAATACTCTTATGAATGCTTAATAAAAGTTGACACGTGATACTTTATTTCAAAATCAATAACACATATTAAAACTAATCACCTTGATAATTACTCAAATTAACTATTTGTTTATTTGATATGATATTAACATGTGCTTATATTTACTACAATACATTTCTACCATAATTACAAAAATATTTATCTTATTATAATTAATTAAAATTACTATAATACCATTTTATTATAATTATATAAATATCCCTCCTAATACAATTGATTAAAATTACTTTAATGTCTCTCCTATCATTATGAAAATAATTTTACTATAATTGATAAAAAATTATTATAATATCTTTCATTTTATAATTATGGAAATGCTTTTATGAGTGTTTCATAGGAAGTTCACATTTGACATTTTATTTCAAAATTATTATAATACATTTATTAAATTATATATTAAATTTTAACATAATGTAAAATTAATCATATATTAAATTATTAAAATATTATTACAATTGATTTATAAAAGTTTGATATGTGATATTTTATTTAAAATTATTATAATACCATTACTAAATTACATATGAAATTTTAACATAATATAAAATTAACTACATATTAAATTACTAAAATACCTTTACCATTGTTTCATAAAAATTTGACATGTGGTATTTTGTTTGAAATTTAATATAATAGCTCTATTGAATTACTTATTAAATGTTAAATAACATACATTAAAACTATTCCTATTGAAATTATTATAACATCCCTTTCTTTATTTGATATGATTTTGATATGTATTTAAATTTATTATAATACATTTATACCATAATTATGAAAATACCAATTTTCTTATAATTAGTTAAAATTATTATAATATCCTCCTACTATAATTATAAAAGTATCCCTTATATTATAATTGATCAAAATTACTATAACATTATTTTATTATAATTACAAAAATACCTCTCTTATCATATTTGATCAAAATTATTATAATATTTCTCATACCATGCTTACGAAAATACTTTTTATCATAGTTGACCAAAATTATTATATCATCTGTTATGAGTATTTCATAAGAAATTGACATATAATATTTTATTTTAAAATTATTATAATGCTCTTATTAGATTACCTATTAAATTTTAACATATTTTAAAATTAATTACATATTAAATTATTAAAATATTTTTTTCATTACTTTATAAAATTTAACATGAGACATTTTATTAAAAATAACCCAAACTAAATGTTCAAGTAAATTAAATAATTATAATTTTTATTAAAATAACAATTAAATAATTTATACTTTAAAATAAAAAAAATATTTAATCCCCAACGTAGTGGGGACTACACACTGAGCTTTAGCATTTTTTTGTTATCTATTCAAAAATAATAAAGTTTAATCCCCCACGCAGTGAGTATAGGTGAAAAAAGGCCAAAATTCGTGTGGGCTTTAGCATTTTTTGGTATCTACTAAAAAAAAATAATAATAATAATTTACCAAAATATGATATAATTTTTTAAATGGTCACATTAACTAAAAATAAGAACTACATTCATAGCAGACGTCACACAATTTGCATGATAAAGATTCAAATCAAATTAGATTCTATTTGATTTTTTTTTAATAATGCGTAAAATTATGAATTTGTAAAATATGATTCAAATTTAAATTGTATTTCATTGAATTCATCAATTTTTTAAATTTATTTTTATATATTATTTTAATATATTTAAATAGATTTAACTATAAAATAATTATTTTTATTTTATAAAAATTTAAAAATATATAAAAATTAATAAAAATATAATTCGATTCAGTTTGATTTTTTTTATTTTTTAATTTAAAATTTAAATTGAAGTTAATAAATATATTTAATATTCGAATTTAATTTGAATCAAATAAAAAAAATTTATTCAAACCGAATATTATTGTTTTGAATCAAATTTTAATCTCATGTGCTTGTAAAAACCAAGTTAAAACTTGACATGCAGTAAATTAGAATGTATATATTGAGTTGTTATTATAAGAACCAAATAAGCGATCCGCCAGGCTAAATCGTTTCACTTCTGCTTCTATAGAAAATCAAACTATTCTGTAGCCTCCGCTCGGCGGGCACCACACCCTTAAATATGTTTTTAAACGGATACCACAACACTCTCAAGCTTTGTATACATAATCATCGTGCACCCATTATTTCGTTAGACCATATCAACTAAAATTTTCAAGCATGCAATAATCCCCTAATGAAGTGAAGATTCTTCTATCCAATGATGTTATTTGTTAGACATTCCATTCACATTTATGTTGAGCTTTTTCTTTAGAAATGTAAATGATACATTTGTATTTGTAAATTATTTGAGTTTAATTAAAATTTTTTTAAAATTTATTTAATTATTATCGAATTAAATTTAAATTTAAATAATTTAATATATTAAAAGAATCAAATTTAGATATTTTTATATTTAATTTAAGTAATTCGTAAATTTCACGAATTTTTTAAATTTAATATATATTTTTATTATTTAATTAAAAAAATAATATTTTTATCTTTATATATATATTTATTTATTTATACACACGTAAATAACCTAACTTAGAAAGGGAATGCTAGCGGTAACCATTATCATACTCTCCTTGTAACTAGAGTTGCATCAGGTTAGGTCTTGCCCTGAACTTGATTTAATTTTATGTATTATCAAACTTAAATTTGATTTTATTTGAAATTTTTTTGTTTTTTCATATCTGAATCCGACTTAATCCGATCCGAATTAATAAAATATTATTTTTTAAAATATAAAATATTATTTTTTAAATATAAATATTTAAAAATATCATTATATAAATATATATAAATAAAAAATTAAATAATTAATTAAAAAATAAATTTTATATAATATCGAGTCAGATTTACTTAAAATTCGAATTCGACTCGAACCTGATTATTTCATAATCTTACCTAATCTAACTCGATCCAAAACTCAAATTTAAAAAAAAAAAATTTTATAAAATCAGATCGAATCAAAATTCGTAAAAAATGAATTAAATCTTCGACCTTATTTGTAACACTCGAGCAATTAAAAGGCCCGTATCATCGTAAATAAACCTGTTACCGGAACTTCCAGTAAATAACATTTTATTTGTTGTAGCCTGTAAGTAAGCGAGAAAGAATTGGCTTTGACAAAGACAAACAAAGTCTTTTAAATTTTTTTTTTTTTTTATTTTTATTGAAGGCTGAAAATATCATTCATATACACTAGTCTTTTAAAAAATATCATTCCATATGTAGTGAATGCTAGGGACAATCATCATCGACAGTCGTTTTCATCACTTGCTCTTTCAAAAAACATTTGGAGTGCAAGGATAAAATCGTAAAAAGACTTTCAAGCTCAAACTACATAATATTATTAAAATAATAATAATAATAATATTAATAATAAAAATAAGAGAAGGGAGAAAATTAATTACCAACTTAGAATTTAGTTTAATTAGTTTATATAGTTATTTTTAAGATGTAATATTTAATTAAAATTTGTTAATTTTGGTTTTAATAATTTAAAATATTTACTTGAATTAAATTTTAATAAATAAATTTAAAATTTATTTTATTCAAAATTTTGAAAGATTTATAATACTAATTTTCAAATATAGTGGTTAAACTTTAAAAAAATGGCTAAAAAATAAACTTGAATACAAAGAATAATATTTTAATATCCATTTTGATGTCAAAATATTTTTCAATTTTAATTAATATTTCAATGCTATTTATTTTACATTTAAACAGTTTTAGTTTGTTTCTTGTTCAAAAATATTTTATCTAGCTAACCAAAAAAAATTAAAAAAAAAGCACATAAACTAAATTTAAAATTTAAACTATTGTAATAAAATTAAACATTTTTATTACACATGAAGCTAATTAAATTTAAAATAGTAATACTAAAATTAATTAGTTAACCTTTCTGAATTACTGTGTATGACGTGGCAAAACATAACCTAGTGTATTCGTTGGCCTCTTAATTGCTCGAGTATTGTAAAATGAGTGCGGGAACGGCTGCCGCTAGCATTCCTCAACCTCGAAGTCCCTAACTCACACTTTGCTGACTCTTTAGCAACGGCGTCTCCTTCCTCTGAATCCTCTCTCAGACTTTCTCTCGATCCCATCCCAAGTCCCGGCTGTTAACATTTTGTTGGGCATTAATTAGGGGACTTAGTGCTTACGTTCTCGGTTGCATCTTCTGACGATTTGTGTGCTGAGGAGACATTCCTGATAGTTGTTATTTAGGAATTATATTTCTAAAAGAACTAACTGTAAGCAGAAGTATTAGTTGCTTACATGTTTAATTTGAGATGCTGCTAGAGTTTGTTAAGTAAATATGTCTGTTCTTCAAGCTTTTGTGCCTTTGTTTTTCAAAGAAGAATAATAATTCTATGCTATTTACTTTTGCAAGTTAACGAGGTTTAAGTTATTTAGTGATACTTTATGAATTTTCGGTTATGGGTTAGTCTCTTACTCCTGCCGTCCTAGGGAACCTGTGTATGCTGCTATAACTATGGTGTTTGTTCATTCTATGCATTATTTGTTTTGGACCTTAATGAATTGCAAGTAGTTGTGCTTTTTTTTTTCTTTTTTTTTTTTGTGGTTGTAACTTATAATTTGTTTGTGATTGACTTTTGTCAGCTCTTAGTAGCCTTCAAAGTGTGTTAGCTATTTAATTTCTTTGCTTGGATGTTTAATTTCTTTCAATTATGACTTTAATTTCTAAGTTTAATGAGAGATTTTTACTTTTTTAGGTGGAATAAGGATAATTTTAGAACTTTTATTTTTTTTGTGACGCCAAGAGAAAGCAAGTCCAATTCCTGAATAATGGCTGATCAATTGGAAAGCATGTACGATGTGGGATTGAAGCCTATGATGCTTCGCAGTCTGATTAGACAATATGTTCTTGATGAGAAGAATCGTCCTCTCAATTTCAATAACAGCTGTTTTGAGCTGCCAAAGATGGTTTACATCCTCCAAACTCAAAGACTTTTGTCAGAATCGGATGTCCACTCCATGGATCAAAAGCTCACAAACATCTGGAAATCGGCCATCGATGAGTGGGTCAATTGCTTGGAACTGCTACTCTCTAGCGACATGGTATATTTCAATTCTTTCGTTGGGTATTTAAACATTTCCTTTTCCTGTTTTAAAATGAATGGTCAATGATAATTCAAATTTTCTGTTTTTGTTTGTTACTTCACAAATTCTTTTCCAAAGCAGTGAATTAGCTGTGTTTCTAGTTCTGAGCTATGGTTGACAAAGCATCAGTTTGTTAATTCATTACTAGCTCATGTGTAATTTTCTTTTTTTAATAGTTGAGGCCATTAAATTGTGAGATTTCTTTGATTCATGAAAGAGAAAGGGTCTAATTCATTTGGTCTTCTCCATTTTATTCTGGTTCATTCTTAATGATAAATTTGTACTTCTACTTTCAAAATTTTTATTACACCCAATCTTATTTTAATTCAATTTTATGTAACTTTTTCTAGTCAGATAAATGTTGGCTTGGAATCTGTCTGCTTGGGGTTACTTGTCAAGAGTGCAGTAATCAACGTTTTTTGTCTTCATACTCTGTTTGGCTTGACAAGCTTCTATCACATATTCAGGTATATAAAGTTTATGTATGAACATATAGTTTTGTTTCTGTCTACACTTTACTTTAACTTCCTGCAAGCGGGCTATTGATTGTCATGTTTGTTTAATTTATTTTCTAAAGACTTCTGCTGTGATCATATTTTTCTGATAGCTGGTAGTGGTTTATAATTATGATAATTTTTTTAAACAGATATTCTGCTTTCCTTTTTTTTGGGTACATTTAGTATCATGTTTTGATTTATGAAACATTGCAGTTTTACCATGTTCAAGTAAATTAGGTTTTAGGGGAATACATTTAACTTCTTGTATTTCAATTGAACCAATCTAAATCTGGTTTAGACTAGTGGTATAAAAGCATATGTAGGATTTGCGAAAAATTTGTCTGCTAATTGTGGATAAATTTTGTTGATGAACTTTATTTACCATGATTCTTTTGTATGGACACCTGCAAGATGTGCTGTTGTCTGACTTTGGACTACTTTGAGACAGTGATTGAAGATTAAATATGGTGGTATTCTGTTGTCTCTGAGGATCCAATATATATACAAAGTTGAAAAGCTTTAGATGAATATTCAAGAGATTAATGTGAGGGAGTGAGTACCTGTGCACTATTTATTTTACATGCATATTGAGACAAAAGCTGTAGGTGATGATGTGATGTCTAGATTGGTAGAGATCAAAATCAAATGGTGATTCTGATTTTAGTTGGATTACATGTTAGATTTTCTAACTTGGTCTTTTATGAGTATTATAAGATAGCAGGTTAGATCTGAAGCTTGTAGGATTGGTGCTAATGAATGGTGATTTTTGGTTCTTATGCTGTGTAGAGGAAAACAACTGTGGGATCTTTGTTGCATGTAATGATCATGGCTTGTCCTTAATATTTTTTGAAAACTTGGATTTATTTCTACATTTAATGTGTTCTTTTGTGTATACGTGCTTGTGGGTGCAAGCATATTTTGTTAAACTTTTTTATATATATTTTTTGATGTAACATGACATGCCATGGCATGTCATATTCTTTGTTCCAAACAGCCTCCAGCAGATTCTCAGCTTGTGAAGATTGCTTCTTGTTCCTCACTATCAGATCTATTGACAAGGTTAGATATTTGTTGTTCCTGGCCATGCTAAAACACATATTATGCTTAGGTACTTACATATGCATTCATTAACATATATGTATGTAAATGTCAATACATTGGTTTATATAAAAGCATTAAATATTTTTGCTGTTAGTGGCTCTGAATCCTGTAGCTATCCAACTTTTGTTATTACTAATTCAAAATGAGGGAAACTACTGTATTCGATGATTAGATAATTAATAAGAACATTCAAATTCATATTTGATGTGGAGATGTAATCAGTATAATAAAGTGCCAAAGGACTGTCGGAACTAGTCAAGATGTGTGTTTCTCGGTGTTGTATTTTGGATTAATGAAGAAAACATTGCATTGAAAGGCACACAGTACGAATCATTATACAAGGTAGTTCCTACTAAAACAACCATCTACAAGATCCAAAAATTAGCTGGAAGAACTAATTCTATTGACTTTTATCATGTCTGAACTAGAATTTAAGCCTCTCCAAGCCAATTGATCTTTAACCAAACTTATCATTAATCAAATTAATTATTAGCAGTTCATACAACAAGGAGGAAAGCTGTCTCCTCAAAAAGCAACTTAACAAAAGATGATGGACTTGGACTTCTGCTTCCTTTTAAAGAAAGCATCTCTTAGGAAGAAATTTCTCCTTTTTAGAGGTTTCCAATTATTAAAGTCCTTCCAGAATACCGATCCAAGCAGCAAAAGAAAAAAACAGCTATCTCAATTGTGGCCTTTTTCCTCCAAACTGCTTTCCCATGAAAAGTTTTACCTCTTCTAGTATTATCTTTCATAAGTTGCAGATAGAACAAATTCACCTCAAAGCTTCCTCTTTTTGCTGAGTCTCCCTCTAGGTGTATCTTTCCTGTTCCCAATCCATCTATTGTTATGAAACCAATCATAGAAATTGGTGAAACTTTGCAGCTCATCCTCTTGCATGTTTCTCAGAAAATGAAATTTTCATATCAACTTCTCTTTAGATATTGACATTGGCTATCAGAGGTCTCTTTATCTCTTCTGAATATAAATAACTCCTAAAATTGATCTTTCAAGGGTTAATGTCTGCAGCAAAACATGAAAGAGATAGTATGCTTACTGGCCACCTCAAAAGAAACATAAGTTAAGAAGTCGTGCCATACTTTTCTAATCCACTTCTAAACACTGGTATCATTAGAGGTCCCTTGCCTCCTTGTAAATCCAACCATTTTGTATCTCTTCATGCTTAGTAACTACCCCAGATGTCCCAAGATTTTCTTCTCTTAAGATAGATCTCCAAAGCTGTTTTTGAATAAGGGCTTTGTTTGTTTTAGTTGTTTTCTCTTGCTTAATATTGAAAATGATATTTGCTTCAGCTGCGTCTAGTTGTGATAGAGATTGTTCTAAACAACAAATTTCATTGCTCAAAGTTTATTTATGATGTATATCATATTTACAATTTTTGTAACTTGGATAGATTCTTTTTTACTGAACTAGATTGGCTAGATTTCCAAAGAAAGATGGGACCTTACATACTGGGAAGCTTGTCCAACCTGTTTTGAAGCTCTTAAATGAGGATAGTGAGGAGGCAGTTTGGGTATGCTGCAAATTTCTTAGGTTTTTTTTCCTTCTGCTTTGCCTATCAAGCTTGTTTAGATAGAAATTCCTAAAAAACTTTGTACTTGAAGTTTGATTATGTTTTATTACTTATTAAAAAAGAATTTTTCTTAAAAACGTATGAGGTTTAGAACATGTACTATTTGTGTTAATAAACTTCAGTTAGAGGTTACTTGTTTCTTCTAGCAAATGAAAAAAGTTTTCGAATAAGGAAGATGGTAGCTTATATTCAAGAAAATGAAAGGCATTTTTTCTTTCTTTCTTTCTTTCTTTCCATTGCATGTGTAGTTGCATGTATCTAGAGGCAACTTTGGTTGAAAATTCATTTTTAAACTTGGGAGGGATCAGGTGTATATAGTAAAGTACTGACTTTCTTCTATCTGCTTGTCTTTTTTGCTTTCAAGTGTTATTTATCATCCTTGTTTTGCCATGTGCAGGAAGGGGCATCTAGTTTATTATATACCATTATAACCTTCTTTCCGGCTTCCATGCGTCATTATTATGATAGGGTGAGTTTATGCTTATCAGAAGACTTCTGACTCTCAATAGTTGTAAGTAATATACAAACCTTTGAACACGAATATGTCCCAACCCACACATATTAGTGTTGTATCTAACGCAGACATAGACATGCTTCTGATACAGTTGTATACTTATCAGATATAGAGGCATGTAGAGAAAAAGTAAAAAGTAATTTAGACATGAGGTGACATACATTGAGGACACAGAATGTGACAGCTCATTGAAGGGTTGTGCTGGTGTTGGGAGGTTACTGGCAGCATTGGGCAGATTTCTATCAAGTGAAATGGAGGAGGCTGGCTCGTATTTTTTGGTGATAGTGAAATTATACCTTCAGAATTAGGAATTAAAGAGTTTTTGAATAAAGAGGGAGGACCAGCTTGATAGTTTTGCTGGTTTCTGTGATTGAGGTGGAGTTTGGGAGGCTGTGGGGTTAGAATGTTAAGAAAAGGAAGATATTGGTGATACGTGTGGTTTTTGGGCTTATAAATGGGTGGAGTCTCCATGTTTGTTCAGTTTTTGTGCCAACTTTGGTTTTTCTTTCAATTTTGAAAGAATTAAAATAAGTTCAAGTTTTTTTGGGTCAGATTTTAAAAACTGATGGGCCTTTATACTGTAATATAAACAAAGCCATAGACACAAACACGTAAGTTGTTGTTAGTTGAATCTTTTTATGACAAAAATATATATGTTTTGTTAATCTTATTTAACAAAATAAAAATTTATAAAAGATATATTTTATTGTCATATCCTGTCTTTTATATATCTAATCTTTTGAAGAAATTGCAGTGTCAGTGTCTGTCTTGTGTCATGCTCATGTCCCATGTCAATATCTGTGTTGTGTAGATACCAACACAGGAGCTGAAGAAAACATGCTACCGACAAATAAGAAGCTGCACTAGCAGGACACTGAAAAATTAATAATTTAATGTAATTTGTGGAGCCTTATTTGTGCTTTATAAAGTAAACAAATGCCCAAATTTGGTTACATACAATTTATACACATTTGTCAAAGGAAAAAAAGAGGAAGAAGGGAGAAAGGGAGGTTGATATTAAAGAAGTGGAGAGAGTGAACATCACTTTGCCTTGTGGATAGAAGATTAATGTTTGGGCTCTATATATATTTCTTAAAAATTTGATTAAAACTGGTCATACATTCGCAGCTGTATATTCATGGCTGTTTATTTTATGATAACAAATGTTAAGAAAATAACATGATGTCATTATCTCCAATATGGATCCATGATTTGACAACTATTCCTTCAATGTGTCACAGAAGTTGTGGTTATTTATGAAAGTTTTCTGATCCTTATACGTGGCTACCTTAACCTAGAAGTATGAATAAAATCATTGTAGAAACTTTGAAAATAAAAATTGTTTGTTTATTATGCCCTAAATGACGTGTGGGGGGCATATATGATACTATGATTGATGCCATCATAAGGTATTATTGGTTCAAACTGATATGGAGAAAGCTCGGCTGTTGTAGTAAGCAAAGAATAGAAAGTTTTGTTTCAACTGGGTTGCACCTTAAAGAAAGCATCAGATTTCTCCTGCTAACAAATTTACAATTCATTGATCTATAATTTTTGCAGGTGGAAGCTGCTATTGCTTCAAAAATTCTTTCAGGGAAATGCAATACAAAAACATTAAAGGTAACATGTTTCTTTTTTTCTGTTCTATTCAATGTTGGCATGAAATAAAAGAAACAAAAGGTAGCATAGCTTGGACAAGTTTTGATCCATTACAATTTTTTTTTCTTTTGTCCTGTTCAATCTTCAGAAACTTGGTTATTGCTTAGCATTACTCCCAAAATCAAAAGGAGACAAGGATAGCTGGTCCTTAATGATGCAGAAAATTTTGATATCAATAAATGATTACCTCAATGAAGCCTTCCAAGGTGTAGAAGAAGGTATAATTTAACATCTTCATGTATAAGTCGTTGACAGGCTTTAAGGGTAATAAGTAGGTGATTTTGCTTTGAATAACTTGCAGAAGCTAAATCCAATGAAGCTAGGAGATTATTGGTTCCTCCGGGAAGAGAGCTGCCATCACCTTTCGGAGGTCATACCTCGTTAGAAGGGGCCTCTTGTAAGGCAACAAGGAGTTCTGAGAGATTGCCTACATCAACTGTCTCTACTCTGATGTTTTGCTGTTGTAAAATGCTTACGAGTTCATATCCCGTTCAGGTATGTTTGTAGGTTTTCTTTTATTTAAAATAGAATTTCAGATGCACATAAATGTGGCTTTATAAATTAATATGTTCGTCAAGGATTTTGCTGATTTCTTTTTTTTTAAGCTATAGGTGCATTAGTCATGTTTTTCAGCAATTATGTATGTTTTATTTAATAGGTAACTGCTCCAATTCAGTCGATGTTAGCTCTTGTTGAGAGGGTGCTGATGGTTGATGGTTCTTTGCCACACACCATGTTGACCTTTGTGACTGCCATGCAACAAGAGCTAATTTGTTCAGAACTTCCAATCTTGCATGAGTACAGTTTGGAGCTTCTCATTGCAATTATAAAGGGGATGCGCAGGTAAAAAAAAAACGACTTTCATTTACTACAATGTTTCTCAGCATTCTAGAAAAAAGTAAGCATATATGAACTTCATTTTTTTTTTCTTTTTTTCTTCTGGTGTTGAGTCTTTGATGTACTATGCTTCAGTATACTGTGGCTTTACTTTTTTGTCCTTTTTAATGTTAACCCTCAATTGTAACTCTTGCTTCCATTGCTTAAATAACTAGTTGAACTTTTGTAAAATACCTTCCGAATAGCAGGGTGCTGATTTTGTGTTTCTTTCTGATATGATTCTCTTTGGTTGAAGTTAGAATTTTGGCCTTGTACTGTCTCAATTTGGCCGTTTTTGTCCCTTTACATCAATTTTAATAAATTTAGTTCTTACACTTTTATTAAAAGTCTATTTAAGGTGTTAAGATTTTGCCTTTAATTTGGAGGATGTAGCATTTTGGTGATGACGCAATATGTTGAGGTGGATTAACTGTCTAAAAAATTCGTATTTTACGTTAATTAAATAAGAATTAATTTTTAAAGAAATTTAAAAATAGTAATTTTTATAAAAATGTTTTTTTTTTTTTTGGTGTGTGCCACATGGTCAAAAAAATCAGTTTGACTTGTCACACCATAAAAAAAAAGCCATATGGTCGAATTTAACTGCAGAAGTTTAATATCGTTATCAATGTTATTAAATGGACTTTTACTAAAAGTCTACGGGTTAAATTCATTAAAAGTGGGGTAGAGGGACTAAACATCACAATTGAGATAATAGGACTAAATTTAAAAACTTTGATGCTTTCTTTATGCTCAAAATTCTTTGCCAGACTTGTTACCGGGATCTCATAACATTTTTTTTTTCTGATCAAAGTATCAAGCCCTGGTATTGTGTAAGTAAAGAATTCATCTGTCCTGGGAGTTATTCGCTAATGTCTTCTTACCATATACCGTCTGACTTTTCTGTGGGCAGTAATAGACCTATTGTAGTTGAGTTTCCTTGGAAATTTAATTCCAAGAGTTTAATTCATTAAAATTGGGGTAGAGGGACTAAACATCACAATTGAGATAATAGGACTAAATTTAAAAACTTTGATGCTTTCTTTATGCTCAAAATTCTTTGCCAGACTTGTTACCGGGATCTCATAACATTTTTTTTTTTCTGATCAAAGTATCAAGGCCTGGTATTGTGTAAGTAAAGAATTCATCTGTCCTGGGAGTTATTCGCTAATGTCTTCTTACCATATCCCGTCTGACTTTTCTGTGGGCAGTAACAGACCTATTGTAGTTGAGTTTCCTTGGAAATTTAATTCCAAGAGTTAAATTCATTAAAATTGGGGTAGAGGGACTAAACATCACAATTGAGATAATAGGACTAAATTTAAAAACTTTGATGCTTTCTTTATGCTCAAAATTCTTTGCCAGACTTGTTACCGGGATCTCATAACATTTTTTTTTTCTGATCAAAGTATCAAGCCCTGGTATTGTGTAAGTAAAGAATTCATCTGTCCTGGGAGTTATTCGCTAATGTCTTCTTACTATATCCCATCTGACTTTCCTGTGGGCAGTAATAGACCTATTGTAGTTGAGTTTCCTTGGAAATTTAATTCCAAGAGTTAAATTCATTAAAATTGGGGTAGAGGGACTAAACATCACAATTGAGATAATAGGACTAAATTTAAAAACTTTGATGCTTTCTTTATGCTCAAAATTCTTTGCCAGACTTGTTACCGGGATCTCATAACATTTTTTTTTTCTGATCAAAGTACATAAAGGCCTGGTATTGTGTAAATAAAGAATTCATCTGTCCTGGGAGTTATTCGCTAATGTCTTCTTACTATATCCCGTCTGACTTTCCTGTGGGCAGTAATAGACCTATTGTAGTTGAATTTCCTTGGAAATTTAATTCCAAGAGTCGTAGTTATTGTGATCTACCAATGATAGATCAATATGGAAGCTCTTTGAATTTGGTCTTATGAGTGATCAATGAGGTGAGGCTTGATGTTCTCATTTATAATAACACCAGTAATTTGAATAGAAATGGAAGAATAATGCTAAATGAGATTGGCATATCATTTGTGTGTTGAAAAGTAAGCAGTGTGGAGTAGATAACCTTTTCTTTTTTTAGGATTTACCTTTTAAGCTTTGCTGCCTGTGCCTTTTATTTAAGCAGTTTCCCACTTTCTGGATATTTTGGAGAGTGGAAGAAATGGAACCTATTCCCAAACTAGTTTTAAGAAACTCATCTCTACTTAGTCTCTTAATCAGGATTAGAAGCTGGATCCTCCTAGGTCCAAGGAATATGATCATGGTTAGTCTTTGGTGATGGGACCTTTGAAATAAGGGATCTTTATGTAGTTTTTGATTTTGGTGACTTGGAAAATTTCTTAGATTAATTCCTATAGGAGAGGCGCTTATTTGGTTTTATTGGCCATGCTTAAAATTCAGGTTAACAGTTTAAGGCTATCAGCTTTTAGTTTGAGTCAAGTATTTAGGATTTTTGTTGTACTCTTTATTTGCTTAATCCATTGGTGTATAAAGTATTTTAGAAGTATTTAAGAGACTAATAGAACATATCTTTTCTTGGGACTGAAATTAGTCTTTTAAGTGTTTTGGGGATCTGGGACAATGGTTGTTCTCTGGTCAAACTAAATGAATCAAATTGGGAACAAAAGGACAATTTCCTTGTAAATGCAAACCATCTCAATCCTTCACTTACATCTATGTTGTATGTTTACTTTTGTCTATTCTTCTTTGAAATGAAAGCTAATTACATTTTCTATGTCCTTTATCTTTGTTTGTCTGTGTGCGTGTGCTTACATCTTTGTTATTAAATACTAGCTCCATGTTCCATATGTTTATATCTTTTTATATTTAGTATTGTTTCTGCTTATCTCTCTGTTTTATTGTTTGTTTATGTGCTTATGCTTATTCCATATTCTATGTGCTTATATCTTTCTTGGCATTGTTTTTTGGATGATGAAGAATGCCATAATAAAGTGGGCATACCTTAGCATATATATAATGTACACCGAAATTCTAATAAAATTAAAGAAATTACAATCCTTATAATTGATTTTACTCATGTATGGCCTAGCCTCCGCTCACCACATTGTGCAACATGGCATGACCTCAAGCCCCTTTTTTTTGCCTTTTTTTTGTTTGGTTTCTTTTCCCTTCTTATCTTTATTATTTAGAATTTTTATTTTTTCCAATTTTTTTGAAATATATTTTTTTAATTTTTATTTTTTGATGGTACCCACTTTATCAAGCTTTTTTTTTTTTTTTTTTTTTTCATTTTTTGACAATTTTTTTCCTTCTTTTAAAATTCATCATTGAATAAATTTTGTTTCTATATGGATCTTAACTTGGGTGCCATGTGGCACTTTTTTTTTTTTGGTTTTTTAAAATTTTTTATTGCTTTTTTTATATATTTTATAATTTTTTCCATTTAAATTTTTTAGAAGTTAGACCTACCTTATATCAATCTTTTTTTTTATTTGCCTTTTGTTCTTTTTTACAGTTTTATAAATATTCTTTTTAGATTTTAAATTTCTTTTTTTATGAGATCCACTTGATATCAAAAATATGCCACGTCTTTTCTTTTTGCTTTTTCATCTTTTCTTTTTCTTTTTTCTTTATTTTTTCTTTTTAATTAGAAAATTTTATTGAAAAAAAATAAGGGATGTGTACACATGGCACTAGATTTCACTTTTTTGCTTTTTCTATATTTTTTTAAAAATCTTTTTAACCAGATAATTTGCATTAAAAAATCAGTAAATAAATGATCCCTGGCATGCGCAGGCCTTTTCTAGTTACAATTAAAGATATTAAACTCTTGAAGTAATCATCTGCTCGCTCCTTGCCCAAATTTCATTTTTATAAACATTCTAGGAAAACCCTTTTTTTGTTGTCTGCTGCTATTTTGTTAACGAATTTCTTTATATCTCTTTGTTTTCTTTCTCCATTTTTAGAGATATAGTTAGCCCTTGTATATTTCATGCCTGTATGATTTATATTGCTTGATCTGAAGAGAGCATACCCTTTATTTGTTACTTGATTTTATTTGCAGTCAACTGTTACCACATGCTGCATACGTTGTTAGACTTGTTACGAGATATTTCAGGTGTGCTCTGCCTGAAATGAGGATAAAGCTTTATTCAATCACTAGAATGTTGCTTATATCAATGGGTGTTGGTAAGCAGTAATTTTCTTTGAATATCTTTTTAAATTTTCACCCCTTATGCTAAACAGATGCCGTGTTGGTACATTGAATTTTAATGGTATGCAGGGATAGATTGATCTGTTTTCCGCATGTCAGTTAGGATTATAAGAGTTGGTATTGCATTAGAATTCATGATTTCTCTGCTGTAGTGGTCTTCTACTGTCATGGAAATGAGCTTGTTTTCTTTTCAATCAGGGATGGCTATATATCTTGCACCAGATGCCATTGACAATGCATTTAAGGATCTAAATTCTTGTAGTGCTGAAGATGTTGAAACATCCCCTTCAAACATAAGAGCTTTGCCCCATCCTAGCAATAGGAAAAGAAAACATGGTACTAGAACTGAATCTCTTGAGGAGATACAAGATACAACTGGTTCAGAAGTGGAAGCAGCCAATGCAAATGAAATAACACCAATTACTGTAAAAATAGCTGCACTTGACACTTTGGAAGTTCTTCTCATGGTGGTATGTGAATTACATCTCTATTTGCAGAAAATGTATTGTCATTTGCTTCAAATCATGCTTGAGAGAATTAAACAATTCTCATAGCAATATATCTAGAATAAATTGTCATAGACTAACTTTGTAGAAAAATAGGTGAACTGGTTTAGAGGTTTTAAATCATGTAGAAAATTTTCAATTCCTAGAATAATAGAAATAACAGTTTTATCTTTAACATTTTCATATAATGAGAAGAAAATACATGTATACATACATATATACATATATATATATTGTTTCTTTTACCTAATGTGTGTAGGAAAATGGCTATTTTATTTATTCTCCATAGTTATGTGATATATGAACCGGAATTTTTTTTTAATTTTTAATTGAAGTATATATATATATATATATATATATATATATATATATATATAACCCTATAAATTATAGATACAAAATTGATAAATTTGAATTATAAACAAAAATAGTTGAGGCAAAAGAAAATTGCTATACCATAGTATTTACTCGTTTCATGTTGCATGTTATTGTTAGATATGTTTAAAGACTTTTTTATATTATATATGAGTATACAAATAGTTAATTGCCCAATCAAGTGAAAAACACTTCTATAAAAAAAAGTAAATAGAAAAATGTTTGTTATACTTGTTTTTTGTGTGTGTGGATAATTTTACTTTGTTGATCTTATAGCAAGTATAATTGAAGTCATCCTTGTATGTATATATCATATATATATATATATATAAATTTGTGTGTGTGTGTGTGTATGTGTGACTTTTTCTTTTTTTTTTCTTGCTTTGGAGTTGGAATTATATCTATAAGATTCAAAAGGAAGTCCACAGTTTCATGGTTAATATTGGTTCTCTAGTATGTAATGAATTTAATGCTTTATGTTGATTTTTCAAAGGGTGGTGCTTCAAAATCTGAGAGTTGGCGATCAAGAATTGATAGTCTTTTGATAAAGATAGCAACAAATTCTTGTAAAGGGGGATGGGGGAGCGAGGAAAACAACATTTTCCTGCCTTATGAATCAACCTCAATATGGGCAGATTTCCAGCTCTCATCATTACGTGCACTCTTGGCATCATTCCTTGCACCAGCTCGTGTCCGCTCACCATATTTATCCCAAGGTCTTGAGCTTTTCCGTAAAGGTAACTACTTTCTGCACGGTAACATTGTTTCTTGTTTTTCCTCATCAAGTAAAATGACAATAAAAGCACATTAACAATGCTTTTGGAGATGGAATATGTGGTACCAATTGAATGTCTCCTTTTAGTGAATATTGAAGATAATTGGATGTGTTTTTTTCTTACTTAGCAAAAAAAAAAAAGAAGAATGCAAGTGGTGGAAGCTATATGAAAGCATAGACATGCCATGCACCCTCATATTCCTGTGCTGAACACGTGTTTGACACGGCAGGATACATTTAGAACGTATAGGGGCATACCAAAAAATTAAAAAAAAAAGGGGTCAAGACATGTTCAAGAGATGTCTAGACACTGGATAAAAGGTTTTTTTTTTTTTTTTTTTTTGCATTTTTTCCTCAAATCTAGAATCAACAGTGGAGTTAAAAACATACTAATATGTTCTTAACATTATTTTTTACAGTGTCCTTTCCATTACCAAACATCTTTTGTGAAGAAACTGATTATATTTGAAATTTTCGTAACAAAGGATTTTTGTAAAGAACTGATTATATTTTGAGTGGAAAGTATCGATATTTACATTTCTTGAATATTGTTATGTAAAAAATATAAAAAATATTTGTCCTGCCATTCTTATGTCTTAATGTTTTTAGAAATTGTAGTGTCTCCGTACTGTGTCATACTCATAGTACATGTCTGTCTTTTGTGCTTCCTAGGGTGGAAGTCAAAGATGCAAGGTGTTGTTAATAATAAATGATCCAAAGGACTAGGTTTCATTGGTGCAAGATTTTTGTAACTGGGTTTCTTAGTTGATGCCCAGCTCTACTAAGTTTTAACTAGCTCATTCTGAGCTCAAGAATTGCTGCTCAAATTTGGCTCCTTTGTACTGCTTATTGAGCTCCCAGTTGAGATCAAGCTCTATGGCTTAAAGCCACTTAGCAAGGGCAAAAAGCTTACTTAGGCCTTAAAGTCCAATAAATAAGGAGTTAAAATATTGGCCAGGGCCTTCCATCATATTATTGGCACATAACGATTCTGTTGGTGGTATAAAAAATGTTGATTATGTTAACTTGCTATTGAAACTGAAAAAAATGATGGATCCTCAAGCATCTCTCCTTCTCTGCGTGCATATGCACATGCTAGCATCCTTCCTTTGGTTTGCAGTAGTTTTTGTGCCATACTTCATACTTCTTGTTGTTTACTGACTGTAATTGTATGCTTCTTCCAGGTAAGCAAGAAGCCGGAACAAAGCTCGCCGGATTTTGTGCTTATGCTCTGTTAGCACTGGAGGTGCTCATACATCCAAGGGCTCTTCCACTGGATGATTTCTACCGTGCTTATCATAACTCTACTGATGGAGCTGGCTGCAGATTCCAAGAAAATTTGTACTCCAGTGGTCAGAAACAAAACGCCATGTTTTTCGACGCCATTCAGAGAACAGAATACAGTGCTCTTGAGTCACATGATGATGATCTTTATGACAGATGGCTTCAAAATGAAAATGAAAGCATCCCTGTTGACAACATGAAGGATAAAACATCAGGACCTAACTTGGGAGGGAAACCTTGTGCAAATGAGTCATCGCTTACAAATATTTTAGAGCTAAGTGAACAAGAACCACCACCAGCAGCAACTAATGCAGATGTGCAGCAGCTAATGGTTCAACCCGGGTCCCTTCAAGAATCAATTACAAAGTCTCCGGAAATTATTTCATCAGCCAAAGGTGTCACAAGTCCTGCAGTTGGAAGAAATCCTGAAGCCACTGAAATGGAATTTAAGAGGGTTGTTTCTGCTCGTGATAATGTTCATGGAAGCACTTTGTCAACCTTATCAAATGCTGAGAAGGGTAATGCATCTGATAACGTTCATGAAAACACTTTTTCAACCTTATCAAAAGCTGAGAAGGGTAATGCATCTGTGGCACATTGGAAAAGTGACTCATCTGACTCCTTTCCTGATATTGTTGATGCTGACCCAGATACTGATTCTGACTAAGAAATAGGGTGTGAAAGAATATATATTGGGAATTTTGACCGCTCTGAGCATTTTTGTACCATGTTCTTAGTTCTTCTTGGTAATTGAAAATAAAAATAAAATTTTAAAAAATATATGTTTACAAATATGAAAACAAAAAAAGTAGTTTTTAATTATGAAAACACTGGATGCTCAAATAGTTTTTCTTTTTTTCCTTTTTTTTTTTATGCATTAAGAAGTTGGTTCATATTCAAACAAATTTTGAAGTCATTAATTAATAAATATATATTATATATTTATAATTAGAAGCCATCAATATTAATTATTTCTATAAGTATATTGTTTTTATCTTTATATATATTGGGCATTTTGAATTATTGATAATCTCTTTTATCTTTTTTTTAGAATAGTTTATGAAATTATTAAACAAAATTTAAAAGTATGAAATTAAGATAATGTCATTAAATATTTTATTTTTATTTTTGTAATCATTCCTCTTTTTAACAAAAATTGTGTAGTGATATCAAATATATTTTACTATTTTGCATTAAAAAAAAACAAATTTTTTGTTCATTAAATAAATTTTCTAGAAACCAATAACTATTTTTCAAAATATAAAAATTAAACATAAAGTCAAAAAACATTTCTCAAACCAATGTAACTTTTATTTCAAATTAGTTAATATTTAATTAATAATTGAACTTGAAATTAATTCTATTCCTATCAAATTGTTGACATCCACATTGTAGAACCTCTTAATTAAAAGAAGTAATAGCTTTAGATATGATTAATCTCTAATTAATGCTATCATAAATGGATTGGTTCAATGGAGAATTAATTAGGTGTGTTTTTCTATTTCAAAGGGTTAATTAATAACCGTTTAAGCTAAATGTGTTTTTGGTGCTTATTTAATAATAAAATATGAATTTACGATTTAATTTAATTGATTTACAAATTTTTTATAAAAAAAATCAAAATATATATTTAAATAAATGAGACAATTGAATCAATTGATTGAGTTGAATTGAAAATTGATCTTTTTATTGTCTAATTTGATTTTAATCAAATTAATTGTGTGATTTTTTTTACTAATATTTAGTTTTTAATATTTATGAATTAGTGGAACCCTAATAATTCTTCACAATTTTTAAACCTATATGATGTAAGTTAAAAGAAATAACTCTTTTAAATGAGAATTAGTAGGGTATGAGACGGGTAGAGAGTATTTTTTATTTTTATTTTAAAATTTAAAATTATATTTATTTTATATTCATAAGATATTTCAAATCTATCTTCATTCATTCTCGTGAATATTTAATGGTATGGATAATTTTTACACTTGTAACTTTAAAAAAAATAAAAATAAAAATTTATTTTTTTAATTATTTAAAAAATTTAGTTTTCATATTTATGTAATTTTAAAAATATATATTAATATATATTTTAAATAAAAAATATATTAATTTAAATTAATCTAAAATAATAATTTATATTATTTAATAAAAATCTATTTATTAAATATATACATATATATAATATAAGTACTAATATATCTCCATTTTTATATTTTATAGTAATTTTAAAATTATATCTATCTTTATCCTTGTTTTCATTCATGTAAAAAATGACCAAAAAAATTTTTAAGAGACATAAAGATTTAATTTTGAACTAAGCTTCTTCCTTCTCTCTTATAATAAGGATTTACCACCTTAAAAAAAAAAAAAAAAAGTGGGGTCTAACTAACCAAATTGAACTTTTGATCTAATGAAATGAATTTGAACCGTCCGATATATTAAATCCATTAAAGAGAGTTTAACCAATGAAAACCTCACGCGTGGTAAACATCATCTTCACACCAACTTAGAATAGACCCCGTACGCCGTGAAAACCATGAATAATTTCACGGGCGCCAAAAAATAAATCTAATGGAAATTACAAAAGAGGATATCACGCAAATCTAACGAAACTTTTTTATTATTTATTTGTATTTTTTCTTTTAAACACAAAGATGGAGACGCCATGAGTTGCATATAATAAAAAAAATTCATTAAACAGCTTCATTGTTTTAGGTGTTTTTAAGTTCAATAACGAGATTAATTTGTACGAAATTGAAAATAGTAATAACGTTAGATTAATTATTATAATGATAAAATTAAATATAATAATAAAATTAAAATAATTTATAAATATATATTATTTATATTTATATTTATAATTAAGTATTATATTTATATAATAAATTATTATACTATTAAATAATTAATTAATAAATTATAATTTAATTAAATGATTAAATTCAGAGATTTGAATGTAGACTTCAAAGTTTTTAAACTTCTTCTTTTTCACTAAATTAAAACTTCATTGATTATGAAAATATATGATTAAAATAATAAAAAATTCTTGAAACTTTATCATTTTGTTTATATAATTTTTTATATTTTTATTACATTCAAATAATTTTTAAATTTTTATTTTGTACTTAAATAAGTCTATAAATTTAAATTTGTATTTAAATAAAATTTTATTTTTTATTTATACTTAAATAAACTCCTAATATAAATTAATTTTTTATTTAAAAAAACCATATTTAAATACAAATTAAAACATAAAAATTTATTTAAATATAATAGAAATATAAAAATTCATTTAAATAAAAATAACAATTATAAATTTTTTTTATATTTTTGCCAAAATATATATTTAAATACAAATATAACAACAATGATATAATTGAATATCTTTTCACAGTTAATTTTTCCACAAAATCCTTTTCACTTTAATCTTAGGCCTTAATTTTCACTATAATTTTAGAAGTAAAAGATTTTACTTTTTTATAGAACTATTGAACCTTTTTTTTTTTTTTTTTTTGACTACGGTAATAGATTTGCTATCTCTTGCAAAGAAAGAAAATAAAACCTTGTGAACAAAATATGAGGAATAGGGAAACGGTATTATGCGATTTTTATATTATTTACGGCGAAAATTGTAGTAAAAGAAAACAAGATTTTAAAAATTCCAAAATTTTTATGGTTTCTCTTCGAGTAGAGAAGCCAATCCGGTGACGATCTTCGTTCCTCTCTCTGCACTCTTCGGTTTGATAGCCGGCGGCTGCCACGTGGTCACTAAAGTTGCCGGCAAATCTTCTACGCCGGAGTTATCCTCCGATGAGGCCATTTTTTTCTCGCCGAAAATCAAATCCAGCTCTCCGCAACCACCGTAATCATCTGTTTCGTCGCAATCAGTTTTAGCCGAAACGTCGTCCGACTGAGAAAAGGTTCTGGTGAATTGGGAGAGCCATTTGGCTCGCATATACTCCGCTTTTCTCCAAGGAGGAAGGTGTATGCCTTTCTTTTTCAAGCTCTGCTTAGCTGCCTCCGATACGAGGGAAACAATCTGGTCGAGACGATCCGATTTACCGACGAAGATGAACGGTAATGATTGGACGATCGCTTTGTAGGCAGCAGTCGATCTCGCCATCTCAAACTCCGATCTAAAATCAATGTCAATCAACATTCTCTCCCCGTCTACGAACACGTCTATATACTCATAATCACCTAAAATATAAAAAAAAAAATCAAATTTTCATTTCTTTAAAAAAATTTCATTATCAATTTTGGAAGAATCTAGAAAAAGGAGATTACCGTGCGGTAAAGATGGAGATTTGTTCCATTTTGATTTGCAAATTGAAGAGTTATAACCAAGAGAAATTAATCCATCGGTCACGCTCTTTCTCAAATCGTCTTTTCGCTTACAATTTTTGTTCCTTTCAACGATCATCGCCGTGTCTGCTAAGAGGTTTCTCTCTACAACACTGGCGCATGGGACAAGACTCTGCTTTTTTTTTTTTTTCAAAATTTTCAACATTTTTTTTTTGTTAAAATTTGTTCAAGAATGAGAACAAAACTGACATTTTTAATTTCTTTAAAAAATTACCTTGAGTGTATCACAAGCATCGACAAGCGATGGTCCGCCATTAATCGACTCACCAAACGCATCAAACTCATCATTGGAGCTATCATTGCTATTTCCATTAAAGCAATTACAGCGATTACGGCCGTATTTAGCCAGAGGCGACCGCAGTGGCGATTGCTTGTCGTTGTGGCTATCTTCGATGAAATTTTGAACCATTTTAGCCAAACAAACTGAACTTGGCTCGAACTCAATCACTTCATCTTTGTTATTAAACTGAGTTTCATCAACACTCGGCTTTTCCGCTGTTGATATTCTCAGAACGCTAGGAAACGGCCGATCGAAGAGTCTCTTGAGACGCGATTTAAGAAGAGGCTTGACCGGTTCAGCTCGAACAGGAACAATTTCTTTTTGTGCCTGTGAATTGATGTCGATTGGCTGAACCTTCATTGGGAAAAAAAATGTTAGAGCTTCTCTTTTATTTTTCTTTTCTTAAAACCCTGCTTTTCTATGTCTTAAACTCAGCTTAACCAGTTAATGCCGCTGATTTCTTCTCCATTTACATCCAAAAAAGCTAAATCCAAGAAAAAAAATTTACACACAATACATGAACCTCACAAAAACGAAACGGCAAAATCGATTTCAAAAATTTTAACCAAAGCCATGCTCATTAGCCAAAAAAGAACTTAAGAAGCTAATTTAGCCCAAAAAGCGTTAAGTTGTTTCGTAGAAGACGTGGCGACGGTGATCGGAGATACGATCATAGCGTACAGAAAGAAAATAAGTATTCGCCGAAATTTTCATTTCTCCGGCAACGGTGAATAGATAGCTAGAGAATTGCAGGAGGAAGATTGTTTTTTTGCTTCTTGTTTGGGAAAAAGATAAGTAGGTAACTTGGCTGACGCATTTTATAGGAAAAGTCGAAGGGTTTTTTATTCCTTTCTTTTGCTGTTAAGGTTGACTTGGACTTAGTACTTCACCTAAATTCTTAGATGGCATCCTTGTCCTTAATGACGTGGCAAATTTTATTCTGACACGATAGAGGAAATTGAAATTACTATGTTATCCTCCCCCACTGTCCCTCGCTTTATGGAGATAATGGGAATTTTTGCTGTTACTTGAGGAAATGGGATGGGGGATAAATTTGAAATTTGAATAGTGAAGGGTGAGAAAGTAAAGGGTGGTATTATGGTGTGTGTGCAGTAGATTTTGTTATTGCATAAGCATAGGATCCAATTCACCGTGATCAGTTTCTTTTTGCTAGGCACAAAATGATATACGTCCCGGTGAATTTGGACCGTCCGATCATGATTCTTTTTCTTATTGTTGATAATCTGTTTAGTTGGGCGTACATTCACATGTTACGAAAGACTTGAGCTATGACGTTTCAAGTTTTAACGGTCTGCGGGTGAGTACATTCAAGGATTTTTATTCTAGGTTTTAAAATAAAATCGAATTAATATTTTTATTTTAATTTGGTTTCTAAAATTTTAAAACTAAACCAAACCAAAAAGGAATTAAAAAATAGTTTATATAATAATAATATTTATAGAAATATTAATATTTTATTATTGTACTTGTATACATTTTTATATATTGATATATTTATCTAAAAAAAATGTAAGCTTTCTAAAAAAAATTAGAATATATATTTGTAAAATGGTTCAAGATCATACAATTATTTAAATCCCATGTATTCTTTATTCACTATTAAACTTAAATTGATAAATGATAGTAGATGACAACATAAAAGGTAGTGCTATTTGAATTTAAAGATCAATTCAAATAATTTATTTTTTTAGAAGATAAATTCTTATAAAGTTGAAATTCGATTCTTAACATTGAAAGTTGTGGGATAGGTCACATGGAAAGTGGAGTAGGAAAAGTACAATTTCATGGGAGGTGATTCAAATTGCAACCAATTTAGTTGAAATCAAATTAAAAAAAAGTATATATAAATGTAAATAAGTATTGACTCAAACAGTCATTGCTTCATATAATTAAAATTAGATAAATTAATCCCAATCGTAATCCGATAAACAAAATAAATTAATGCATGATATATGTAGAAGTGTGTAGTGTATAACATAAAAACTATTATTTTAAATTAAAATGAAGTCAAAGATAATATAATTTCGATATCAAACTATTTAGAATGCCATGTTGTTGGAAATAGAATGGATTAATGACCATATCAAGATTTCTTTACTATATGTTTCTAATTTCTATGGTCAAATTGATAGAAATATGACTTCTTCAATAGTAGTATAATTTAATAGTTATGCCTTTTTCTAGTAACTTAAACTTTTGAACTAATTAAATTAATTAGAGAATAAAGTTTTTGTTTTTTTACATAAAATTTTGAGTTAGTGCAATAAGTGTATGTTTAGATTAACTTACATATAATAGATGGACCCTTTCCTATTCTCTTAAGCTTTGCTAAGCATTACATAATGTCATAACCTTTAAGATAATTGGTTATCTATAATAACATGACATCAAAATATTCAAGTTCCAATCTTAAAAATTGTTTATCATTTTTGAAATTTGTTCACCCGATGTCTTGTTGTATTAGGAATATGTAGGATCTAGCTCCATTATTTTAATTAATCAAAGGTCATGGTTCTTTTGACTTTTGATCTAAAATAAAGCTTTAAACAATAAAAGAGGGGTTGTGTTTTGGTGTGAAATGAGAGGAAAATAAAAACCAAAAAAAAAAAAAAAAGAAAAAGGAAAAGGAAAAGTTGGTTGAATAGAAGTCGATTTGTGATTTGATTGAGCTGAGATTTTATTAGTAGATTTATGATTCAAAGTTTTACATTTTGAATGATGAAGATAGAATTTGAAACTCTTTAGTAATAAATCTAAGGTGTATTTATTAAATCACTTATTTGGTGAGATTGCTTCGATTGTCTCTCTAATTATTGATTAGTTCTAATTTTAGCTAGAGGAGAACTTTATATATCTATTATTTGATAGTGGAGATTTTTTTTAAAAATTCATAGGTTTTTTCTTCTACACTAAAGATTTTTCATATAAATTTTGATATGCTTTATTTTTCTTACGTTATTGATTGTTGTTTATTGCTATTGCTTTATTACAATTAATTATTTTTATGTTATTGTGTTTGTCACTTCAGGCCCAATATGTTATCCATTGCCATTGCGTTTATCCAAGTTGCATGTGAGGCATGTCAAAACTTAAATATAATGGTAGGAATATTTTCCTATCAGCTTAAGTTTTTAAGACAATTGATCACCCAATTAAACATATAATTTTTAAGAAATTTGGTCATTCAATTTATCAAAATAATATAATAAAAAAGGATTTTCTTCGCATTGAAGCCTCAAACAAGATTTTAAAGATAGTTCCATCCTTACATAAATTTTATTTTTCTCATTTCAAAAGAAATTAAGCTTTGAAGATAAATTTTAAAATTTAATTAAATTTTTTTTAATTTTGTTTGAAAAACTCTTGTATTTGAATCACGAGATTCATTCAATTTTGGCCATTTGCTTCTCTTTTGGTCCAAAAAAGGGGGATTTTTTTTTACTACCTAGTGTAAGTTTGCAAAGAAAACACTCAAAATATGAGACCCTTTTTAAGGAGGAAATGATAGTCCAACATTACATAGTCAAGGATTAAATTGTGACTTTATAAGAAAAAGTCATTCTTCCCTTATAGACGCATTTTTTTTTTAAAGTAAAGTCGTGAAGACAGATCTTTGAATTTTGAAAACAGATAATACCTCGTAACGAACACAATTCAATAGTCCTTGCATCAACAATGGTGCAGTCTATGGGAATTCATACTGGCCTTTCAATGAAAACACAATGCACACTCTTGATTAGGGAGCTAGTGTTGAAGGGAAATGATAATCTCACTTCTAAGAATCAAGGATTGGATTGTGGCTTTATAAGTAATGGTTACATTTTCCTATTGAGATGCTTTTATCAAAGGATAAAATTGTGATGTTAGGCTTTCAAGTTCCCAAAGCAAACAATTTCTGATAAAGTACGCAATCCAACAATCCTTAAATCAACCATTCTAGACCTAGTGCTTAGTTTTTAGGGTAAAAAAAAAATTGATTCAAGCCATAATTATATGGAAATTATGAGCGAAACGAGTTTTTACTTTTAGTACTCTCATTTTGAGTTTAGGTTCAATTTTGAGAGTTACCAAACTCGATTAATTTATTGAAATTTCAATTCTAAAAATATAAAATTTAATTCTTGCAAAAGTAGATTAGTCAATAATTCAAAGAATTTGTAGGTTTTTTTTAAAATTTTTTAATTATAATTAAATATTATATTCATATAATCAACTATTACATTATAATTAAATCATAATTACTGAATAATCAATTAATAAATTAGAACATAATAGTTAAATCCACACACAATTAAATTTCAACCTAAAATCTCAAGATTTTATTATCTAATTTTTACCATTAAACTAAAGCTTCATTGGCTTAGGACCATGGAGTTGAAAGTAAAGAAGAATGGAAATTGGGGACTTAGGTAGAAAGAAGTCCAATCAAGATTATTAAAATGAACCTGACTCTTCATTTGTACGCTTGTCTGGTCTTTATCTTCAATCTTCAATGTTGTGTTTATAAAAGATTTTAAACATATGACATTCTATAATGTATTGGATATATAATTTTAAAAAACTTAATCTTTTTTTATTGATATTTGATATTGTGAAAGTTCGAATTTTGATCTTTAAAATTATAAGTTCGATACTTTATTAACAGCTTACATGATTATTAACATGAGTGAATCTACATGTAATACTAATGTATTTATGGACATATTTAAAAATTAAAAAATTAAAAAATAAAATAAAGTAATTTCCTACACACTCTAAAATTATTTTCTTAAATACCTTCTCATTAATAAAATCGATAAATCTATTAATAATTATATATATATATATATTATAAGTGAACAATTAAAAAAAATCTTAATAAATCAATTACCACTTGTTGTTAGCAAAAATTTCTAATCTCAATTCTTAATAGAGTGTATAAACTCCAAATGATCCATTTCTATATATGTGGTGGCTAACCCCAAGTGATTGTGTTAGAAAAAACTGAAATTGCCTGTTCAATTATACTAAGTTCATGAATTTGACATACCACAATAAAATAAAATAAAGATTGAGAGTGAGGAAGGGAAAAGGAATGCGAATGATTTTGTTAGAATAAAACAAGATATATTTTAGTTTGCTTACTATACATACGAAGATTTAGTGGATCTTGAATTATATAAATATGTACAAGAATAAATATCATCCTCAAATTTAGTAATTTTAACATAAAATTTCAAATTAAAAGACTCGATACCGTGTAAGAGATGTTAAAGATTGAAACAGCAAGAGTAGACCAAGTTAGAAGATCATTTCAACAGATTCAGAAAATAACATTTGCTGCCAAATTAATTAGTTTAAATTCAAACATTATAGATGAGATAAATTAATCTCTTATCTTGTATATGGTATATACACATTAATGATGATTAATAAAAACAAATAGGTTCAAATACAAAAAACTTATCTCCCTTTATTACTAGACAAAGGCTCCAAATTTACATTTAAGTTGAAAATAATCAATAAGAATTGATTGAATTTGTAAGTATTAATTTTGTTTGTAAAATTTAAATTCAATTTTTACTATTGGTAATTTTTTTAGTAGATGATTTGTAAATTTAATGCAAATCATTGCTGAAGTTTATAGTATACTTTGATCTTGGAATGGGATAATCTCCTTTCACATAAACTTTTTTAAAAATAAAATAAAAATAAGTTCAAAGTAAAATTATGATAAAAGATAAAACAAACTGCATATGTATGATATCAAACAACCGATAATCAAACAAAGTGTTTTTTTTTTT